TAAGTAATTGTTTATAAAACATTAAAAGAGCAAAATGGGTATTTAAAAAAATTTACAGCCACCTGCAAAATTTGGGGAAAGGCTGCATATTTGTAGCCCTATTCCCTCCGGTTGCAAAATGCAGCCGGAGATGGAGGCTGGTTAGAGGGCTTCGGGGCTGCTTTTGCAGACCCGTTGGAGAAGATCTTATGTAGCAAATCCAGCGTAAAAAGTATACACGGACAACGTCTTTATCAGTTCAGTTATCCAATGGTCTTAACAATTTTGAGAAAAATTAAACTACAATAGTAATAGAAATCCATTTTTTAGGGAAAAATGCTTCCAGCCCCCAAAACGAATGGAAACAAGCTTCCCACCCCCCAAGACTTTTTCAACGGGTGCTTTGTCCCCAAAAGTAATTTTTTTGTTCTCTGAGCCCCCAAAACACAAAGCCCAATGAATTTCACACATGGAAAGACTATAATACCCATTCTCTCTCTCTAACCCTGCAATCCCTCTGCTCTCCCTCCTCCCTCCCCCACCTCTCCACCCGCCGCCGCCGCCCTCCTCCTGCCATCCTCACCTTCTCTGCCATCGTCGCTCCGGCCATCCACAGCATCCTTAAGATCCACAACGCGGAGAAAACCTCGGCGCGGTTCGAGGAGTACAAAGAGATAGTCCGCTCGAGGGCCGAGCGAAACTCCGGGGCGACGAGCTGCATAGCCGACGGGAACAAGCGACTGAGGTTTTACTGCTTCATGATTCTCTGCGAGCTGGGTTTCATGGGAGCGTGGGAGCGTGCGGGAGGACTCGCCCAACCCAAGAACAATAATAATAAGAAGAAGGACAAGATTGATAGTAATTACAACCATGCCCCCCTGACCTTGGCTGCTCCTGTTTTGGATGCTACAAGAGCTTCTGGGCTCGTTAGGATGCCTCACCCAACCGCCATGTCATCCACCTCATCCTCGATGCCTTTGAAGAGACCCTTGAATCAAAGGGATGCCTCACCCAACCGCCATGTCATCCACCTCATCCTCGATGCCTTTGAAGAGACCCTTGAATCAAAGGAGGCCAACAGCAAGTAGAAGAGGGGGTTGAAGAGTAAAAAGATTGATTTTGATGAGGTTTTGGCGAAAGAGATGAGCGCCCATGAAGTGAAAGTTGATGATGATGGCCATGATGATGGGTACGGGCATGTTACTAATTACCAACGCTAAAACTATTACCACCAAAAAAACTTTAAAATAACCCAAATAAAAATATACCGGTTGCTTGTTAAAATTACTCCCCCATTAGAATGTCCTACATTGGTTGTTAAGGTTATATGTTGGTTGTTAATGTTACGCGTTTGTTGTTAAGGTTACGTATTGGTTGTTAATGTTATACAGGTTGCTTGTTAAGGTTACGGGTTGGTTGTTAAGAATATGCGTTGGTTGTTAAGGTTACAGGCTTGTTAAGGTTACGGATTGGTGTTAACGTTATACGGGTTGATTGTTAAGGTTACGAGTTTTTGCTTGTTTAACAACCAACTCGTAACCTTAACAACCAACCTGTAATCTTAACATCCAACCCGTAACCTTAACAACAAACGCGTAACCTTAACAACAAATGTGTAACTTTAACAAGCAACCCGTAAGCTTAACAAACAACATGTATAACCTTAACAACCAACCCGTAACATTAACAACAAACACGTAACCTTCATATTAACGGATCTTGAGGATCTCTCTGACCGATTATTAGGCTCTGAAAAACACGCTAATTGAAGAAAAATGTAAACTTGGACCTAACAAACAAGGTGAAATCTCGACATCACAATAACAGCAGAACAAGGACCAGTGAAGCAAACAAAATGCACCAAAACATCAAATCCAAGCTCGACGGGGGAAAAACGTGTTGATTCCGACAGAGAGATCTTGAGTGTTCTGTATATTTAGAGTAACTTTTAGACGATATAGGAAGTCTAGATGCACTATTTTTATGCATGTTGGCCCGCCCATCCATGTTAACGTCTTTAATAGGTAACCAAAATAAATTTATATATTTTTCAAGAACACTCGCTTTTTTTAATAACTCTTAATATGTCAACATCTTTTAATTAATATGCATGGCACTATTCACAACATTTCTCAAGCTTCAAGCTACGTTCAGGAGTTTACATATTTCTTCAATTAGCGTGTTTTTCAGAGCCTAACAATCCGACAGAGAGATCCTCAAGATCCGTTAATATGAAGGTTACGTGTTTGTTGTTAATGTTACGGGTTGGTTGTTAAGATTATACGTGTTGCTTGTTAAGGTTACGGGTTGCAATGTTACTGGTTGGTTGTTAAGGTTACGGGTTGGTTGTTAAGATTACGGGTTGGTTATTAAGGTTATATGGTTTGCTTGTTAAGGTTACGAGTTGATTGTTAAACAAGCAACCCGTAACCTTAACAATCAACCCGTATAACATTAACACCAATCTGTAACATTAACAAGTAACCCGTAACCTTAACAACCAACGCGTAGTCTTAACAACCAACCCGTAACATTAACAAGCAACCTATATAACCTTAACAACCAATACGTAACCTTAACAACAAACGCGTAACATTAACAACCAACATATAACCTTAACAACCAATGTAGGACATTCTAATGGGGGAGTAATTTTAACAAGCAACAGGTATATTTTTATTTGGGTTATTTTAAAGTTTTTTTGGTGGTAATAGTTTTAGCGTTGGTAATTAGTAACATGCCCGTACCCATCATCATGGCCATCATCATCAACTTTCTCCTCATGGGCGCTCATCTCTTTCGCCAAAACCTCATCAAAATCAATCTTTTTACTCTTCAACCCCCTCTTCTACTTGCTGTTGGCCTCCTTCGATTCAAGGGTCTCTTCAAAGGCATCGAGGATGAGGTGGATGACATGGCGGTTGGGTGAGGCATCCCAACGAGCCCAGAAGCTCTTGTAGCATCCAAAGCAGGAGCAGCCAAGGTCAGGGGGCATGGTTATAATTACTATCAATCTTGTCCTTCTTCTTCTTATTATTGTTCTTGGGTTGGGCGAGTCCTCCCGCACGCTCCCACGCTCCCACGAACAGGTCCTCTCACGCTCCCACGCTCCCATGAACAGGTCCTCCCGCACACTCCCACACTCCCATGAAACCCAGCGCGCAGAGAATCATGAACCAGTAAAACCTCAGTCGCTCGTTCCCGTCAGCTATGCAGCGCTCGTCGTCGGAGTTTCGCTCGGCCATCGAGCGGACGATCTCTCTGCACTCCTCGAACCGCGCCGGGTTCTCTGTGTTGTGGATCTTGAGGATGCTATGGATGGCCGCAACGACGGTGGCAGAGAAGGTGAGGATGGCAGGAGGAGGGTGGTGGCGGCGGGTGGAGAGGTGGGGGAGGGAGAGCAGAAGGATTGCAGGGTTAGAGAGAGAGAGAGAGAGAATGAGTATTATAGTCTTTCCCTGTGTGAAATTCATTGGGCTTTGTGTTTTGGGGGCTCAGAGAACAAAAAATTTACTTTTGGAGGTAAAGCACCCGTTGAAAAAATCTTGGGGGTGGGAAGCTTGTTTTCATTTGTTTTGGGGGCTGGAAGCATTTTTCCCTTTTTTTTATCCACATTAGTATGGATAGTATGATTTGATATAAGTCGTACATCCAAGAGCCAAAATCTAATAACAATTATCCTTGGAATCTTACACCGAATTATCAATGAAGATAATAATCCCTTTCATCGTCCCTCCTTAAGAAAATGTGGATATTACGAACAGCAACAATAGTAATAGAAATCTAGTTTAACTAATTTCCTCACACGGTATAATACCCACATGTTAAATTTTTTTATCGGGAGTTTATAAAAGCAACTCACACTAAAATCATATTACATTATCACCAAATCGATTTCATCCATCAAATCACAATATGATCATTTACGTCTTCTAAAAGTGGAGAGAAGCTTCTTAACAAATCATTTCATCCATCAAATCACAATATGATCATTTACGTCTTCTAAAAGTGGAGAGAAGCTTCTTAACAAATCCCTGCTGCTTCTCAACCTGCAAGATACCATTTACGTCTTCTAAAAGTGGAGAGAAGCTTCTTAACAAATCCCTGCTGCTTCTCAACCTGCAAGATACTAAAATTTTCATTAATCCTTAATTAAGTATTTAAAGTTCAAAGATACAGACAAACTCAGCCTCTGTTAATATCACCCTTATGTTCTTTGCAATTAGATGCATTGTGTTTCCCATAGAATCACTCATCTTCTTGGCTGTCATCTTCTTCTCCTTTTTCCTTCTGAATATAACACCTGGTCTCAGAATGAATCTCGGTATCAGCAACCTCTTCCAATTCCCTAAGCACGTCGTGTTACATCGAATACTCGGATTGCGATGCAGTGGAATAATCTAAATTAGGCAGCATTAATAGGGCAAAATGAGTAAATCGTAACAACAACAAATTTTGCTATGATGAAGGAAATGTAAAGGATGTTTGATTGACAGGGAATAGAGCTAAAGCATCAAATGCTAGTCGGCAATGGTAATCAAATTTCCATTTCACAGGTAAAAAAAATTGCAACATTGTTGCAGCTGATCTGATAGCAGCAAATTCTGCAAGTCCTCACATTAATTTAAAGATTTAAAAATAATGTCACGTCATCAAATTAGTGGCTCCCAACTCAGAAACTGTATATCATTTTATAATTGCAGATAAACAAATACTTGATTTGCAGTGAAAGACATTTCCTATATTAAAAGATGTAAATCCAACTGTTTTTGAAACTAACAAAACACTATATTCAATTTGTAAATACCTTTCGTACAATAAATATGCAGATATACAATAAAATATGCTAGGTTAATTTCTTGCAAAAAATTGCACCGTTTTAATTTTTCTGAAATTTACCATACCTTGTTAGAAATAAGCCTGGAGCTGGTTTTGGGGGTGGAAGGTGTTTGTTCACGGTGGGCACTGGTCCTCAACCGTTGGCAATACTGAAGAAGCTCAGCCTTCCGATCGTGGTGATAGTGGTGGTGGTGGTGGTGGTGGTGGTAGGGCCTCCGACGATCAGTTGACCGCCTAGGCTTCACCACATAAACTGATATAAACACGGGCGCCTTCTTCTGAGAGGACATCTTCTGCAAACATAAAAACAAACACTTACACAGAGATTCTTGAATTTGATATGGAAGATTGCAGGCCGAGATCTAACAAGTGCAAGCAAGATGAAGACAAATCAATTGATGAAAACATTAGGGCTATGTTGCTTGGCATTTGTTTGGGTTGTTACTGCCAAAAGAGGACATGGTGTTTGTATCACATTAGGTATGATATATTACATATAGTACATTGAAACGTTCAACCCTTTCGCTTTCAAGGCACCAACCTTCTATCTCACAAAGATTATAATAAGGCATTTAATATTATCCGACTGATTTACCAAAGTAGAGTGTTATTTGAATTAGGTTGTTGTTACAAAGATTTGCATACAGACGCTCGTCCACTATGCATGACGTCATAAACAGGAGTAGCATGACTAATTCAAGTCTTCTTCCATTAGTTACTTCAAGCTAGGATCCAAGCTTGGGCTTTCATTAATCAAGACTAGCTTTTAACAGCAAGTTTAATATGAATTAATAGGTGCATAGCTTGCAAGGTCATCCATTAGCTATTACACGATATTAGAGATCTAGCTGTACATGTTTTCCTATAACTGAAGTCATATTATATGAACAGCTTTCCAGGTAACTGATTGTTTCTTTTAAATATTAACACTTTTGTATCAATAGTGTACATTTTACTCTTTAAACTTCAATATCAGTCTCTTACACTCCCAAAGCAAATACCACATATTCTGACCAGCTCAACTTATTGTTATATATTTTATCTACTAAGAAAATTTTCATGTTTAAGGAGAATAATGTCAAAGCTTATAACCTGTATTTAGAAATCATCAATGTGATAGCTTTACAAGTTCAGTATTTGTTTCCTATTAGAGGTAAATTGCAAATTTTATCATTGAGAAGAGAACTAATTTTGACCATGTTAGACTTGAACTACTGTGAATGAGTTACCATCTATACCAAACCACATAGGACACTAATTCATTTATCAACACATTACCTGAAGCACGACAAATTTTCTTACAGATTCTATGGAGGTGAGAATCTTAAAGATATGGTTACATGATGGACTCCCTTAAAAAATAAGCAATATTTACAATATTTGACAAGATACTGTAACACCAAACAGGAGAGTTTTGAACCATATAACATTTTGAGGTGGAAGACATTGACCATGATGTTTGCCTATGAGCCAACTCAAATGAGAATCATAAACTATAATTGTTCTATGTACGTAGGGGCTTGGAGTAAGGAATTCCTGATGTTTGCCTATGAGCCTATCCTGATCAGTTGAGCCTGACGATGGCTTGAGGAACATTAATAAAGTTAAACGTCTCTTAAATGCTTAATATAGAACTTGCTTCATGGACCTTAATTTGTTTAATGATCTTCACTGCCCAGAAAGAGGTAAATTATTCAGTCGGTCTTACCTTCAAACAAGTATACATGTAATAATAATAATAATAAACTGAATAGCACGCTAAAGAAGTAAATGCCATAGTAGTAAAAGAACTACAATTCTGAAGTTTACAAGTAGAAATCAAGTATCACAGTAAAATGCCATAGTAGTAAATAGCATGCTAAAGAAGTAAATGCCATAGTTGTAAAAGAATTACGATTCTGAAGTTTACAAGTAGAAATCAAGTATCATCAGATTAGTTGCACATGTTTCTCTAGTATTTTTACACTGAACTCAAAACTCAATCTCCTGTAATAATAAACATTCATGGGGAAGGTAACTTGTGCAAAACGGAAAATTAGCATTCCCAATAGTTTAACTTCGACATATAGCTCTTCTTCCCCCCTCGTGTTTTCAGATCAAGAAGAAATAGTTTCTTTTTTATATTTGAGAATGCAACTTTTGTTTAACAAAGATGCGGAATGCAACTTTTGTTTAACAAAGATGCAGCCGTTTGATGGATATTTTGGTAAGAAGACTATGTTTCACAATTCAGAAAATTTTACATAAAACTGGAAAACGGCAAAGCCTGATAATTTTCTAGTGATGTTATCTCCTAGGAGCCAATACAAATTCATACCGGCAAAAAAGGCTTAATAACATAAACGACAGAAAATAGTTATTGCATAGGACATCAAAGAAACAAAGATAGCTGGAAGTAGAATCTGCTTACTCAAGATCATCAGTTATATGCATCTACGGCTCCTTCAGTCTGTGCTGAATCTTGATCAATCATTTATAGTGTAGCTTCCTTTTCGAAAGTGTCAAACTATTGACCGTATAAGACATTTACTGGCTAAGGAAGAGATCACATGGCCTAAAGAAAATTTTAATGTTTGGTACATACATTAGACTTTCCTTCATCTCTTTCCAGCTTGCAATAGATTATCTTGTCCATCTTTTCTCCCTCCGAAAACTAAGCTGATTAGCTTCCCATAAGTCCATAATTTTCTTTCTTTCCCTTTATATTTAAGAGAGGAGTATGTCTTCTCACAATTCCTGATGAAAGACCCTTTGCCAAAAGCACCCAAAACTAGAGGATCCGTGTACATTTCCACCGCTCTTTCTAGGCAACCATTTCTTTTCCATACTTCCAACACACGGATGCCATTATACCCCATCTTACAAGCATCAAAAAGAATTCCAAGAGTCACCATATCGGGTTTCAATTTGTGCATTTCAATCCGAGAAAGTGCGCCGTTTAAAGCCTTGAAGTCATTGATTTTAAGATAAAACAGCCCAAGAATATTTGTATGGGTTAATATAAACTCAACTTTTGCCGTATCCATTTCCCTAACAACAGATTCTACACCCTTTCGGCTCAAGAGACAAGCAGAAGCAAGGAGGAGAATGCACCAAACAATATCAGTTCTACCAGTTCTGGAACTGATCTCATTCCCAAACTCTTCCAACCGAACAAACCGATGATGCTCTATGTAAACCATAGCCAACTTTCTTATTAGATTTTCCTTCATATATGCTTCTGAATGCAAAAATCTGCGGAACATTTTCTCCATTTTTTCCAAGATCCCCAGATCAGCATAAGCCTCCAGCATTGTGAGCAAAGCGTGAGGCTGCAAGTTCATTCTTTTTGATTGGAGAGTTCTATACAATCTTTCCATTCTTTCAAAAAGTCCTCCTCGACTCGAGCATATTCTTCAAGTAAAAAATTATAGGTAACCTCATTTGGAAAACATCCTTTTAATTCCATCTCCTTCACACACTCATCTGATCATACAATTTATAATCTCCATAAGCTCGAATAAGCCCATTATATGTTTCGGGTGTAGGCAGCAAACCAGCCTCTACCATTTTACTCAACATGTTTCTTGACTTATCAAACTCTTTCTTTCTCGCAAATCCATGAATTATGTCATTGTAGAATGACAAAGAAGGGACAACACAATGCTCCTCCATGTCATGGAGGGTTGAGAGTGCTCTTTCTCTGTAATTTCTTTCACACAACAGATGTATGATTTTGGTGTAGTTGGCACCAGCGATTCGAGATGTTTCTTTGTTTTTCCACGAATGAAACACCTGTGTATCACATAAATGAGGGCCTCAATTTTATGGAGAAGAGAACATATTCAATTATTTTTAAAAAAGTTGAAATTTCATGGAAAGCACGTTCCCCTAAACTATGATCAACTTTTGCTATTTCCAATTACCATATTGAACAATGCGCCTGTCAGAGAATTCATCATTAGACTAAGAGTAACTAGCACAATCACATAACTAGAATATGATGTCAATGACTGGACATATGAAACTATCAATATCAAGTGGCATTTGTGGTACATTCGTGTCTAGTATAATGAACTTGGACCCCGTAAGCCATCCAACATCATGGGAAGCAATTCAAAAAACCAATGAAATTATTGAAAAATGACACACGTTGGAAGCACAGACCCAGCGCTCAAATGGCTCACTCATAAGATCAATTTAAGTCCATTAAATAATCTAAAATGTTTGCGGCAAAAATTCCGTATGCCAAAGTCCTACATCTCATAGGAACCCAAAACTACACAAAGAAGTTTTAACAACTAAATTAACCAAATAGTTTAAGGCTACGTTTGGGAACTTGGATTTGAGCCAAGATTTGAAATCCAGGGCAGCCCAAATCCAAATATCTTGTTTGGATTTCAAATTTGGTTTAGATTTTAAATCAGATGATTTTGTTGAGGTGGATTTTGAAGCCCAATATTATGGATTTGAAATCCCACCCTGACCATCGTGATTCAGCAAATCCAATCCCCTTCATTTCATCGATCTCTGTCTCCTCAAAATCCCAATTCTCTCTCTCTCTCTCTCTCTCTCTCTCTCTCTCTCTCATAACCCTAGACCAAGTCGATCGTCACCTCTAGCCAACGCCTCGCCTCCGACTCCGGCACCTCTTCTCCGGCGACCTATCCTCCCTCTTTCCTTTGTCTCTTGCCGTTTGTCGCCCCGAACCATCGCCTTGAACTCTCCCCGAAAAACCATAACCTGAGAGGTTTCCCCTTCACTGAGATCTTCATCTCCGGCGATCCGATGGCGACGAAGGCGGAGATTCAAGCGGAGAGTTCTGTAAGCATCACTTTGCCTACTCTCAAGATCAATTTCCCCTCTCTCACCTCTTTTTGATCTCATTCAGTCAATCCAAAGGCCACCGATGGGAAGAGTTTTGTGAAAGATTTCGATTTCTTGGTCCTAAAAGTTTACAGCGTCAAGATTGAAGAAGTCTGGGAAGTAGACTGGACCTGGCCAAACTTCTCCAAGGTAATTGCTGCTGTTTCTCTTTAGAAAGATGTCTGTTTTTATTCCTCGTGTGAATGTCGCATAGCTTTTGTTAACATTGATGCATGTGAGCGACCAATTTATCAGTTGCTAGCATAGAATGTAAATATGATTCATTTTGCATGTATCACATATATCTCAAATATATATAAATATATGTAGTTTGACATCCTGGAATTGTTTATCTAATTATCTGGGTCTATTGTAATTATAAAATTTGATTAAAGCATACATTGTTTTTTGTTTGTAGATCTCTGATATCATGTAGATCAGTTTGAACAGGGTAGACCATCAATTCTATAGCATATTATGCAGTTTAATAGACGGAGAATACATCATATAGTTCGGATATTGAGAGTATTTGCAGTGCTCTTCAGGTTTGTTTGAACTTTTTTAGTATGTTTTCTAGTTTTAGCAATTGGGTGTCATCGTGATGTTTCAGAGATGTAGATATGGTTATGGAGGTTATTAGCATCCAAGCTTCTCTAGGACTAATTGATTGACATATAACATAACTAGATACAAATATCCAAAGTGATGTATTGAGCACAAATATATGCAGCCAGCTTGATAATTGCAGTTATTATGGGCTGAATATAGGCTATTTGTGTTCTTTACATCCCATTTTCTAGTATAAGATAAGACTTGTTTGTCGGCCCATGTTTCTGGATGTTTCGTGCTCTTCATTTGCATTCAGGTCATTTTTTAATAGGTTCATTAACCACTTGATGACAAACTTCTTCCGTTTTTAATGTTCTTTGGTCCTTTGTGTTGAGTCTCATGACAGTTTTACTTGTAGACTGTTTATCTGATCAGTTTCAATAAACCTTACGTTACATGTATATATCATCTTTGGAAGTTAATATAATTGCTCCTGCAAGGTTTTTATGCAAAATGCATTCTAATCAGTAAAATAATATCAAAAGCTTCTACCATCAGGAGAACTTGCCTCTCTTATATTCATATTTTAAGGAATCTTTTTAATCTGTAATATGTCTGATTATTACTTGCATCTTCAAGGAACTACATTTTTGACATAGTTTTAACTATCAAGGATATCACCAAGTCAAAAGATGTTCCAGTTTTATTTCAGCAGTGAGTTTGCATCGTTCACTTGTACTTGTCGCTTTGATACTGAGGTGCGTAATGTTACTTATCTTGCAGATCTCAACTTCACTCGCTGGAAAAATGGGATTTTGTTTAGTTTGATTTTAAAATAAGCTTCTGCTCTCGAACGTACTCAATTCATTTATTAGCTCATCTCAACATCCTCAAGCTTGTGTGCACTAATTTCAACATTAGTGGAAGATTATTCTCTTTTATACTGGAAAGAGATAAGTATATAAATTATCGACGGGCATAGACCTATAATTGTAGTTACATTCAATTAAATGTTGCTTGCCCTAGCTAATCCTGTCACTATGAGCTGCTACTCGGTTCATTCTGTGTTTGTTTAGGAGAGACTACATTTCTTCCACCTCTGGCTTCTCATCTATTACTTCTCCTATCTATTTCGTATAATTTTCTTTGAATCAATCTTATCTTTGTGGAAGTCAAAACGAAGAGAAGGATTGATATGCTTCCTTTCCAAAAGTTTGACCGTGGGGCTCTATTCTTGTTGTTCTGTTATTTATTTATTTATCCTAGCAAAACTCAAGACATTATCTCTTTTAGTTATTATGTACTTTTGTCAATCAAAGCAGTAAGGAACTTGATCTCTTTTTAACTGTTGGTTTTGGGTGGCATTTGTTTGCTTCATTTTGCTGCAATATCGAAATTTGGTTTTATGAGTTACTGGACAAGAATTTTGCTTCTTGTGTTTCATTGGATAGCTATGCGGTTGGTTTAATATATTAGCATTAAGGACATTTGTCTTTACAAAAATTTCCATTTTATATTATTGCTTTTCACTTATATGACATAAGTAGATTCAAGAAGGAACCTTAAGCTGAACATTCATCAGCAATCATTTTTGTGGGTAGAAGTGTAAGCATTTCATCTTTATCATTAACTATCCAATGTCTCACCGAATAAAATGGTATAGCATGTTGATTATGTTTATTTTACTAAGAATAATCATGTCTTGAGGAACCTTAGACTTAAAATATGACATCGTACTTTGACTTAAATCTGTTATTGTTAACTTCTTTCTGAGTATGATTCTACAAAAATATTTTAGTTTCTCTGCAAATATAAGAGGATAACAAAGAAATATTCATGTCATGGTCTATAATCTCCCTCCTTTCCCACCACCTTCCCCTTCCCCCTCCTCTCTGAGATTTTATTTTCCAAGCAATAGTGGATAAATGCTAAACTGCAATATTTCCTACATGCTTGACCATTGACAATATTTACACTTGGCCATCTTCTTTTCACATGTGATATCTTATTATCTGTATAAGCATTTTGTAATGAACTAATGGATTATTGTTTGAATGTGTAGTCTATGTTGTATTTAGGGCATAATAGTGTTTTATGGCTACATCATAGGATCTTCTTTGTGAAATCCTCTTTCATCACCTTTTTATTACTGCTAAGCACATGATACTGGGATTGAAGGTTTGATTATACATGTTGAGAAGGGGGGAATTCATGTTATAAACATTCCAAATGATCAATATGTGTATAGGCATTTTGTGTATAATTATATATTTCACATTCTAGTTATTGCATATTGGATCTTGTTTGGCAGATAAACCTTTCTCATGTGAGTTGCATATTTGTTTTTAATATTTATTCAGATTCAGATGATATTCCTAGGTTTTGTCAAAGTTGTAAGTGAAATTTTGTCTTTGGTTTGCAGACGTGGAAGAAGATTACAAGCGATTTTGTTTGTTGTATAGAAGCGTGAGATTGTGATTCAATGGTTATTCTCCTTTTTTTCCTTCTTCAGAAATTTCTTGTATTATTTTTCCTTTTTCGGACACTCCTTTAATTTCTATAGAATTTCAAGCTTGGTATATCAAAGACCAAATTGATTATGTAATTGTCAGTTGTATCTGCTCTGTTTATATAGGATGATGTTTGAGCATGGCTTATGGGTTGAAATCAAGGTGTAGATAGCTACATTTTTAATGCACAACATGTAAAATTGTTACTTATTTGCTATGATATCAACTTATTCTCACTTTGAATATGTGTGAAATATGAAACAAGCTTCAAGTGTTTTCCAGCCTGGATATCTGTGAAATATGCAATGGTGATCTGTTATTTAGATGTTTTTTTGTAAGATACCTGATATGTTTGTAGAGTTTTCTTCATTTTCATTTTGTTGGAAGTCTTGCAAGTTATGGCGGGTAATGAATTTGAAAACTTAGCAAATGTAGCTATCATCGTCAAAATTAGCTAAATTTGTGTTTTTTTGGTTACTATTTTACACATCTCCATTACATTTGATGTAAACAAGACGTGCTAAGAGAATAAATTTTCTTAAAATATCAATTTTAAATTCAAATTCATGTATAATAAAGTATCCAAACACTAGATTTTGAAATCAAAGATTTCAAATCCTTTCATTTAATAAAGATATCCAAACAAAAGATTTCTTAAATCATGGATTTTAAATCCTAAATTTATCATTTAATAAAGATATCCAAACAAAAGATTTCTTAAATCATGGATTTTAAATCCTAAATTTAAAATCCTTTGATTTTAAATCAACTTCCCAAATCCAAATCAAAGTTTCCAGCCTAACAGATTTCAAAGCATTAGATATTATATAATCCAGCATTTCAAAAGGGTTACTCTTAAAAAAGCTTTAAATGCATTATATCTTCTCACAGGAAGAAAATAAAAATAAAAAAAAAATAAAAATTGAAACCTGAATCGCTTCTTCGACTCTCTCTTCCTCCAACAGCAGCACAACCACAGCCCACAGTTGCTCCTTACTCCAATCCCCATCCCTCTCAAGAATCCCAACTGGGTCCGATCCCTCGATGGAAACTTCTTCGATCAAATCTTTGAGGATCTTGTTACAGTGAAAGTCTCAACCAGGAGGTCCTTGTGCTGCTGATGATGATTATGGTGGTCAAGATGGAGATTGCTGTGATTTTGGCTTGAAACGCGTAATGGAGGGATGAGAGAAGAGGAGGGAGAGGGTTTTGTTAGGGTCGCTGTGATTTTGGCTTGAAACGCGTAATGGAGGGATGAGAGAAGAGGAGGGAGAGGGTTTTGTTAGGGTCTTGGAGGTGGGTTTTGGGAGTGGATTAGGTTTTTTGAAGGGGAAGAAGAGATTTTGGGGGTGGGATTGGATCAAAGTTCTCACGACTCGTTTGGTACGTGGGAATGAAGTCCAAGTCAGAATGGAACGGAAGAAGCAATGGAATGTACGGAAGAAGCAATGGAATGTACGTATGAATGGTCAGTCTTATTTTCTTGTTTGGGTACGTTTGTAGAATAAAGCTAGAATGAAAATCTAATTCTCATTCACATGTTTGATATCACTAGTTCACAAGTGAGAATGTAATCTTATTTTCTAATAATATCATTATAACAATATAGATTTTTAATAAGATAAAAATAAACATTAATGATAATAACTAAAAAAAATTATTTATGCATATGTTATATTAATCTAGGTATGTGTTATACTAATGCGCATATTATCGATCAGGTGTATGTTTCGTTTATATATTTTAAACAATTCTCACTATTTCTTAGTCTTAAAAAATTAAATAAAAATGCAATAGAAAGGAGGCCTTTTTGTTTCGGTGGAACCTAAAAAACAGAGAGAAAATGAGAATACGTAGTCAAAACTCAAAAGCCATGATTTTTAAATTGGTTCTTATTATTAATAGGGGTATAATTGAAAAAAAAAAAACTAACTAATTTGATTCTCCCATTGAATAGGAATGATCATTCCCTATCTTCTAACTTAGAATGCCCATTCTCGCGTACCAAACGATGGTTTGTGCTTTGGACAACGAGGGAACAGTTAGCTAAAAATCAAGGCTATTTATAAGTGGGCTATCTTAATGGGCCTAATGATCTGTTGGGCTGAGCCCAAGTTTGAAATTATTTTAAAAATACCCAGAACATGGTAATGATGGATAAATTGACATGGTTAGTTAAAAGATGATTCGCATGAAGTTACTTCGGTTGCCATTAACTATGACCAATTCTTGTCAGACATTCTTACAAGTTTTTTTTGGCCCAAAAGACCATATTTTATGAAGTCAAATGCTGATTTGTGGGAACAAATAGTGAAATTAACACAAAACACCATCAAGACATGGGTAAGTTTTGGTTTAAAAAATCAAAACAAAAACACAAGTAAAATTAAAGTTCTTGCATTAATTGAGAAGTAATTTTAATTATGTTTCTCAATAGGCATATACTAACCCTAAAACATTGCTAAAAGTGATATTATTTTCTTCAATTAGAGTAAACAGAGGCCGGTATGTACCCTCATGCTCTTGATTGGTATGTCGCTAACATTGGTATCAAACCTTTTCACAATCTGGATCATCAACATAACCACATTATAACTAACTAACGAGATGGATGCGCGCACAACCAAGAACATGAAACAACACAAAAACACGCTCTTACAGTTAATGATATCCCTCCCAAACCTAAATATTGCAGTAACTTGGAGATCAAAATGGCATCACAATCAGAGACACTTTTCATCAAGAATCAAAATCAAAGTAACTTGGAGATCAAAATGGCATCACAATCAGAGACACTTTTCATCAAGAATCAAAATCAAAATGGCATAAAACATCCCTTGCCGAATGGCATCACAATCAGAGACACTTTTCATCAAGAATCAAAATCAAAATGGCATAAAACATCCCTTGCCGAATCACAAAGCAAATGCAGATGCCTCAGAAATTCTCTCCACAGAAACCTGCATTCTCTCAACAACAACAACAATCTTATTCTTTCATCCAGCCAAGGACTACCTCCATTATGTTTAGCCACAAATCTGCATTCTTTCCTAGAATTAGTTTTGCCGCAAGCTCCATCACGGTACCAGGCAAACAACATGATAATAGAAAGACTCAGATAAAATAAATATCAGCTTCTTCACCTTTGACAACAGGATATAATCCAAAGCACATTACCATATTAAAGTCGAAGAGTTTAAACAAGCAAATGCAACACACAACAACAACATCACCACATAACCAAAATAACAGAAGCAAAGGCATGTCCATCAATTGTCTGAAGAAAAGCACCACAATAAAACCTAAGCAAAAGGACACAAACAGCAACAACTCCAGAAACCATAAATGGAGAAAGGGCTATCACCGCCAAAACCAGCGGAACTCCCAGTGGATGCACTAGATTTCATCGGATCATAAATGAGCATCTGCCATCAACATAAAACCAGTGTTAGTCTCGTAGATGCACTAGATTTCATCGGATCATAAATGAGCATCTGCCATCAACATAAAACCAGTGTTAGTCTCGTATTTTCTGAAGAGAAAAACAACTTTATTATATTGTTCACTGAAAACCCACAAGATTTGAAGAAATTCCGAACAAGACTGAACTCAAACAATGATGAAATTACTCCTGGAGGTCTTTAAGCTCATAAGTTCTTTAATCTATTTATCCTCATATTATTTTTCATTCACCCATAAGAATAATAGTTTATGTCAAAATGGTCACTTTTCTGAAATATCTCCACTATAATATTGTCTTAATTAGCTACTGTTGCTTGGAAAAAATATTATAAAATCAACTATTCTCTGTGACAGTTCATCAAGTCACCTCCAAGATCCTCTTTGGGATAATTGCATTTTATCCCTCAAATCTTCAATAATTCTCTAATAGCCCCTTAAATGTTTGAAACTGCTCATAAGTTACTGAACTCCTGAGGGGTCTTGCAAATTAGCTCCTCAATGTGTCCAAATGCACTCAACTTATGTTTTTGTGAATACAAGTT